CTGGTGCGGTCTGAGCGAGTTGAGCAGGTAGTGCAGGTTAGTGAAGAGCAGAGAGATGTCCTCCACACACCGCCCTGCCTGAGAGGGTCGCTCCACAAGCACATCTGCTAGCTCCAATACGAGCAGGCCTAGCTCCCTCCCCAGTGCCTTGAGCTCTGCCCGTGTGTCTGGGGGTAAGCGGGGAGGAGGAAAGGACATGAGGGCATGACGCTCGCTCCACCAACGCATCCGCTGAATCCACCACCAGCAGCCCAGCTCCCTCCTCAAGGCGATAAGCTCCGCGTCTGGGGAAGAAGAGCGTGGGTGGAAGAGAGTGGGTGGAAGAGCGTGGGTGGAAGTGCGTGGGTGGAAGAGCGTGGGTGGAAGAGCGTGGGTGGAAGAGCGTGGGTGGAAGAGCGTGGGTGGAAGAGCGTGGGTGGAAGAGCGTGGGTGGAAGAGCGTGGGTGGAAGAGCGTGGGTGGAAGAGCGTGGGTGGAAGAGCGTGGGTGGAAGAGCGTGGGTGGAAGAGCGTGGGTGGAAGAGCGTGGGTGGAAGAGCGTGGGTGGAAGAGCGTGGGTGGAAGAGCGTGGGTGGAAGAGCGTGGGTGGAAGAGCGTGGGTGGAAGAGCGTGGGTGGAAGAGCGTGGGTGGAAGAGCGTGGGTGGAAGAGCGTGGGTGGAAGAGCGTGGGTGGAAGAGCGTGGGTGGAAGAGCGTGGGTGGAAGAACGTGGGTGGAAGAGCGTGGGTGGAAGAGCGTGGGTGGAAGAGCGTGGGTGGAAGAGCATGGGTGGAAGAGCGTGGGTGGAAGAGCGTGGGTGGAAGAGCGTGGGTGGAAGAGCGTGGGTGGAAGAGCGTGGGTGGAAGAGCGTGGGTGGAAGAGCGTGGGTGGAAGAGCGTGGGTGGAAGAGCGTGGGTGGAAGAGCGTGGGTGGAAGAGCGTGGGTGGAAGAGCGTGGGTGGAAGAGCGTGGGTGGAAGAGCGTGGGTGGAAGAGCGTGGGTGGAAGAGCGTGGGTGGAAGAGCGTGGGTGGAAGAGCGTGGGTGGAAGAAGCGTGGGTGGAAGAGCGTGGGTGGAAGAGCGTGGGTGGAAGAGCGTGGGTGGAAGAGCGTGGGTGGAAGAGCGTGGGTGGAAGAGCGTGGGTGGAAGAGCGTGGGTGGAAGAGCGTGGGTGGAAGAGCGTGGGTGGAAGAGCATGGGTGGAAGAGCGTGGGTGGAAGAACGTGGGTGGAAGAGCGTGGGTGGAAGAGCGTGGGTGGAAGAGCGTGGGTGGAAGAGCGTGGGTGGAAGAGCGTGGGTGGAAGAACGTGGGTGGAAGAGCGTGGGTGGAAGAGCGTGGGTGGAAGAGCGTGGGTGGAAGAGCGTGGGTGGAAGAACGTGGGTGGAAGAGCGTGGGTGGAAGAGCGTGGGTGGAAGAGCGTGGGTGGAAGAGCGTGGGTGGAAGAGCACGAGCGAAGGACACAGCGGCGTGGCAGTCGTCCCACCCACCAGCACATCTGCCAGCTCACGCACCACCACGCCTAACTCGCTCCCAGTGCTTTCAGCTTGGCCCGTGTGTGTGAGGGGCGAAGCAGGACAAGCGGGTGGAGGAACTAGAAACATGGCGGAAGAGACTCTCTCCACCAGGCTCCAGCACACCCGCCAACTCCAGCACCAGCAGGCCTAACTCAAAGCCAAGGGCAGTTAATTCTGCCCTGTCCGTGTGTGTGCGGGTCAGGGGCGGAGGAAAGGACGTAGCGGCATCATGGCAAGACCGTGTCTCCGCCAGCACATCTGCCAGCTCACGCACCACCACGCCCAACTCGCACCCGATGCCTTGAGCTCTGCCTGTGAGCCTGTGAGTCTGAGAGGTAAAGCAGGAGCGGAGAACGGACATAGTGCCTCGTGCGTGTCTGGTAAATAGAACGGGGTTATGGCACGGTGACCAAGATGGCGTGATGGCCCTATGGCATGGTGGCATGATTACTTGCTACTATAGTGGCATGATTACTTGCTACTATACTGGCATCCTGACAGCATGACATGATGGCATGATGGCATGATGGATTGATGGATTGATGGCATGATGGCATGATGGATTGATGGCATGATGGCATGATGGCATGATGGCATGATGGATTGATGGCATGATGGCATGATGGCATGATGGCATGATGGATTGATGGCATGATGGCATGATGGATTGATGGATTGATGGCATGGCATGATGGCATGATGGATTGATGGCATGATGGCATGATGGCATGATGGCATGATGGCATGATGGCATGATGGATTGATGGCATGATGGCATGATGGCACGACGGTAGGAAGGCATGGCAGTGCCCATGGCGTGTTGGCATGGTGGCAGGGGAGGGGACGCGTCGAGGGACTCACTGATGTTCTTGGCCGAGGGGAAGAGCTGCCGCACGCCTTGCTCCTCCAGGCTGGGCAGGCGATCCTCCGTCTGCCGTGCAGAGCGCGCGGGGGAGGAGAAGGAGAAGGAGAAGGAGAAGGAGAAGGAGGGAAGGGAGAGGAGAGCATGCAGCCCCGCTGCATCACTCTAGCGCGTCCGTGAGTGATTTAGGGTCGGGCTCTTCCAGCCTGGGAAGGCGATTCTCTGCCTGCAGTGTGCGCGCCAGGGAGGGAGGGGACGGAGGAAGCACACGGCTCTTGCATCACCCTCATGTGGCAGTGAGTGGCTCAGCGACTTGACTCTTCCACACACACACAAACCCTGGCTGGGAAGGGGGTTCCTCTTATGTTCTGCCGGGCAACTCTGGCAGCCTGGGAAGCGCAAGCAGCACACACTTTTCTGACAAAATTGGTGTCTCTGTAAAAACATCGACAGACAATGCAAGCAGTCAGCAGTGCACGCTACGGCAGCAAAGGTTTGGCGTTAGCGGGTTTGACGTGAGAAGGATTTGACGTGAGCGGCTGACGGTCAACCAGCATCCTCAAATCGCAACAACGGGAACACCCCGGCTGGTGAGTCGACTCACGATCTAGGGTGCTCCGAGAGACATGTACTCGTCCGTGATGGCAGGAGGCGGGGCCGGGCCGCCCGACCCAGTGTCCGGGTCATAACTGGCATGAAGCTTGAATAAACAACGAAGCAGCGTCTCAGAAAGTGAGTTCACTCACGTTGTAAGGGGCTCCGAACGACACGTATTCGCCTGTGATGGCAGGAGGCGGGGCCGGGCCGCCTGAGCCTGAGTCCGGGTCATAGTTGGCGTAGAGCTTGTAGTAGGGCGGCGGGGGAGGGTACGTCGACGCCGTCGCTTCCATATTGGCGTCTGACGACCCTTGCTAACCCGGCGAACCTAGCGAAGGCGAAACTGGCGAATCCGGCGATCCTGGCGAACCTGGCGAAACGACCTAAAAAACGTGGGACGCGTTCTAGGAGACGTACGACGGCCTAGGCGGAGCCGCGGAGCGGGCGCTGATGACCGTTAACGAGGAGAAACGAGGCCGGCTGGTCACTTGGAACAACGGCTGCTGTACTCGAAAGCAGGCGCCATGAGCGGCTGCAGGAAGAGTCGTCTCATGTGTCGCCAGCTCCCGTCCCGCCGACCATCCAAGACGTCGTCTTATTGACAGGAAGTATATCTGGGTAAGTACTAGCCGATGTGCGCTAGGTAACCTTTCCGCTGAGCGGGGGAGTCTCGATTTGAGTGTATCTTTCTCAGGCGCCTAGCCCGTTCCCTCAGTCCCCGACGCGACGGGAACGCTAAGCTCCAAGCTCGGGGATTTCTGGAAATGACATGAAAGCAGAGAGAAGGGCAGGATGGCGATGTGATGTGACAGGCGAAGTGTGAACGAGGTAGCAGACCAATGTCTCTTCAACACGATGCTTCTGCAACCTCACGGAGGGAAATTCACCCCATAAGGACGACCCTGCTGTCCGGTTGAAGTCCCCAATCATGGAACAACGATACCTTCAGAATAATACCCATAATGATTTGGCTTATCGAAATATCGCCATAGCCAAATAATTCAAAAGGGCACCACAAATTTAACCATAATTCATCCAGAAGCCAAACAAAGGACAAAAACTCCTCTGATATGCCATTAGTCAGTTCCTCCGACGGCCAGCCGATGGCCATTGCCCTAGTGCATCACGGCACAGCATCTCCCAAATCGATCCCAAAGCAGTTGCAATTCCTCCAACCGCCCTACAACCCTTGTCTACAGCTTAGGCAGCTGGCCACGAATAGCACCGTCTGGGAACCGCTTGGTGTGGATGTTGCCGTAGTAGTTGGACGGGCGCTTGTAGATCATGCCCAGAGCAGAAATGAGCGCGTCCGTGCGGTCGCTCTTGCTCTTGCCCAGGCTTCCCTTGCACCGCCAGTAACCCTCTCCCTTCTTGGCATACGCGCACGGCAGGTCCAGGAGCACGTCCCCATTCTTGCCCTTCTTCCCCGTGTGCACGTGCGTCTTGGTGGGCGGCATCTCGCCCTGAAGGCGGTGCACGTTCACCTCGTACTTGGCCCACTTAGGGCCGTCGCTATCCCTGCATCAACAAAGACGACACGTCACACGCAATAAAGGGCAATGGCTTTAATAGCCAGAACAACTCATGACGCCGGTGCAGAGGCTTCCATATTGGCTGCCGCGTCACTGCAATCACCAGGTGACTTCTGAAAGCCAGAGACAGACACTGATGGAAGAATGTCCGCCAAAATGAGTGAGGGGGGTAACGTAACCCTGTGAGAGTGAGAACCAGCATGCGAGCGCCGACACGTGAGCGCCAGCATGTGAGAGCCAGCATGTGAGAGCCAGCACGTGAGGGCCAGCATGTGAGGGCCAGCATGTGAGAGCCAACATGTGAGCCAACATGTGAGAGCCAGCATGGGAGAGCCAACATGTGAGAGCCAACATGTGAGAGCCAACATGTGGGAGCCAACATGTGAGAGCCAGCATGGGAGAGCCAGCATGGGAGAGCCAGCATGGGAGAGCCAGCATGTGAAAGCCAGCATGTGAGAGCCAGCATGTGAGAGCCAGCATGTGAGAGCCAGCATACTTGTAGATGGTGAGCTGCAGGTAGCCGATGCCTTGCGGGTCGCCCACAGCGTTCTTGGCAGCGTTGGAGTCGTTCTTGGGAACCTCGTTGGCTCCCAGCAGAATCGCAACGTACGTGCCTGCACAGGGCCAGACGGAACTGATCAGTTGGCATACGTACACGGACGTGAATGGCTACGTACCTTATCGTACATGATGCTTAGCTTCGGTAAGGTTGAAATGAGTGGCAGTACTCATCAGGAGAATTCGAGGCACGGACGAGGGAAAATGCAGGTGGAGGCAGGGGCAGCAGGAGAGAGAGACTCACTTGAGGTTTGGTGGTCTCCCAGGACGGTAGCCAGGAGAGCCGCAGCACAAACTGTGAGAGTTCAAAGCGCACGGGAATATCACCAGTCATCAGTCACAACCAGCCCAGCATCTCTTCGTAACCGATTGGAAACGAGCGTGACAAGTCCGACCAGATCGGGAGCAGCAGTGTCAAGAATTATCGTGTCAAACCTACGCAGGTCCCCCTGAAAAACGACTCCGAAACACGCTACTGCGTGACATCGTGTCAGCCGGAGACGCGCTCTTACTGTGAGCTGTCTTGGAGATGCATGGTTGAGAACCTACCAATTAAAAGCAGAGATCGCGATACAGTAGCGGCCATGTTTCCCGAGCGCCGGTGGCTAGAATCCGCTCGAGCGAAGCAGCGGGTGATACGCGCTTTCTGACACGAGCAGGCGGCTGCGCGCTGAATGACCAGGAAACGCAACGGTACGAGAAATTGGCTGCAGATTGCCCGCCCTTGGTGTTTGAATAGTGACTGAAGGGATGAGGCTGCCTCAGCTTTAAAAGGGTCTCGACGGAACTGTTTCTGCTTGGGCTAGGGGGACCAGTAAGGACCACAGGCGTGAGCCCGAGGAAGGTGCTGTGATCGCACTCGCGCCGCTCCCTGAGACGCGACGAGGCGCCAGTCGGCGTGTCGTTGCGTCCGACCTCAACATTTTGGGATTGTTGGTCCGACGCGCAAAGTTTCGAGGTGCTACGTCAATCATACATCTCGGGCCTAGACGTAGGAGGGCTTCTACGAGAGGTTCAGCTCAACAAAGTCAAGAAGGGCGGTGCAGCGGATTGGCCGCCGCGCAAGCCGGCGGGGGTGAGCGAGCAAGGCGCAGGGTGTTGCTGCAGCTTGCAGATCGATCCAGCAAGGTGTCGCAGATCGCCAGGTTCGCGGTCAACCAGCCAATGCGTGCTCAAGTGGAAACATCGGCAGCTGCTGTAATAGCAGCACCGTCCGTCCAATTGCGCGTGACGCCAAGAAGCCGAGTGGAGAAGTCGAGAGATGGGGGCGTGTGGCAAAACCAAAGCTAAGGGATCGATGGGATAGGAGGAGGAAACGACAAATCTACACCCAAATCAAAACAAATCCGACAGAAATGAACCCGTATCTTCAAATCATGGATTCGTTGTAGAATAGCTCAATCCTGACAGTGTCAGCCACATGTTGGGCGATACAATCGATGTGCGACATAATCGCACAAGATTTTAGGGTGCCAAAAATTCAATCGGTCAAGTATTTCGCTGTCCCTCGCCACGGGCAAATGAGGCTTTCGCACGAGCACACGGCGAAATGGGTGGGTATTTGTGGGGGGGGCTTGTGTGGCGATATTTGTTGCCAGTGTGCGACTCTTGTGAAGCGATCAGGCGACGGCGGTGCACAGTTCCGTGGCGACGAAACCTCGTCGTCAGCGACTTGTCCCTTGCTATATGCTGGTCGCAGACGCAATCATGAGTGACTCAAACGGATCTCACATTGCCCGTATATCGGGGGTTTAGGGAACCGATTCTGATTGGGCGCCAGGTTGAGCTGCGATAAGGCTGGGCATCGACTGAATTGGTTTTATTGTTTTGCCCACAACGCTGCCCAAAATGTCTTGGTATAGTTTGGCATTTTCTGCCAAATTGCAGAGCAGCAAAATTTACTGGAAAGTTTTGTCGCGAAGGCACAACTCTAAACGTCAGTCCGAAACATTTGACAGCAAATGCGCAAGAATTTCGCCTCATTGGCTCCTAATATTCAGAGGAATTTCTACTGGATGCATTTAGATTTGGGTGTATATTTGTCGTTTCCTCGAAAAGAGTGGAGGAGGTAAAGAAACCCGTCGCGCATGTGCTTTCGCACGCTCTTCGCAGAAACCGTCCGTGTGGCTAGTGTCGAGTCGAGCCCCAAAACCGAGCACCAGAGTGGAGCGGAATATCGGGGCCTAAATCGAACAGGAAGAGCGAGGCGAACGGATGACAGGTGGTTTGGTGGGAAGGTATCAGCGAGCGTTAAGTACACGTACGTTAGCAAAATTGTAGAGAGTGCATCGGGTGTCTCTAGTTGTTTCCTGGTATGTTTGTTTTGGGCTGCCAAAAAAACTGAGTACCCTGTTCTGGGCGACATCAACCCTAATCTCGGGGTCCCTGTGTTCATTTTTCACAAGAAGCTACCCGACTTCGACAAAATAACAGGTGATTGTCTTATTTAAGTCGGATTGCGACATGTTCGGTTCTCATGAACCCAGATTCTGACGGGTACATCTTGACCAGATCAGTGAAGTGAAGTGTTTTTTTTTTTAATAAACACGGATACTAGAACTTCTCATGCCACCCCACCGATTCCCCCACTATTCCCTCTCCCTAGGGAAAATCAGCCCTAGCATGGAAGTTCGAGAGGTGGGATGATAAGAGTGGAGTGGAGTGACTCTTACGTGGTTCCCTTTGTTTAATCCAATAACTTTTCGTAAGAGCATTTCTCATCGCGGAAAATATCATGGGATTGAACCTAGAAATTGATGGGTAACGTTTCATACACACCCGTTTTATTCGGGTCTTGCGAGAGAGATACCCGGATTTGTCGTATGGAATAAAACCCAAAGGGCTGATTCCGGAGTGAGTGTCAGACCCGAGGTCGACCCGCGGCCGAAGGAGCCGCGTGTTATCAAAGCATAACTGCGGGGATTGAGCCCGACGACGCAGCAGTGAAACAGCAACAATTTGTCGCAAAAGTAAAATGCGACTACCCTGAAAGCACGCAGGCTTGCCACCGCTGAGTTTTATTGGTCCTAAACTGGCAGGCGATCATCCGTACGGAGTTTTGAGTTGTTGGAATAGTCAGCCACCTGGCAGACACCGTCAGTTTTCTCTTAGACCCAAGGCAATTTTTTTCCAGCCTTGGGTCTTCTCGCTAAACCCTCGGGTCTGACAATCACTCCGGAAATTACCCTAAGGTAAGCCCTGGTAGGGGGGGCATCTCGATTCAAGAGAGTTTTGTGACCCGAGCCGAGCCTACTCGAGGCTCGAGAGAGGCGACAAAGGGTCAGGCTCGACTGGCTCACAGGCCCGGCAAACATGTTGTTTCTTCCTATTTCCTGGTTCGGCCGAGGCAGGCACGAGGCATGTGCGCAAAACTTTACAATATCGATAGAAGCAAGTTCACGCAAGCAATACCTCTCAACCGGCGAGTGCTGGAATACTCGTTACACATATGAACAAGTTGCTAACGGAAAATTGCACATGCATACAATTGCATGCGGAAGGATTTGGATAGATCAACTATAGAATTGAAGGTGGCAAATGGTACACACCTCCACTACGGTGCGGCTGACAATCTGGAACAACTGCATCCTGCCAATCCTGTTCCAAGCTCGGGTGTACCCACCGTCTGATGACGTCTGAAAAGAGCGCAAAAGCTAGAACCGATCTTTATACAGTGTATGGGGTTAAAGCTATCATGTCCTGTACGTGTCTCTCTATTCTTTCTCTCACTCTAACATGGTAACAGAGCTAGGTTAGTTCCTAGCCTCCTCGCTTCCGCCCTAGGTGCTCCCCGCTCCTCTCTCGCCCTAGCCTACACCCTAGCCTGCGCCCTAGTCTTAGCCTGCACCCTAGCCCTAGCTCCTCGCGCCTACGCCCTAGCCTGCGCCTGAGCCTATTCGAGCTCGGCGCTGTCCCCCCTGCTCGCGCCGTGCGCTGCCTGCTGCTCACATTGCGCACAGCCCGTTGCGTTGCACTGTGCTCGAGCCTGCTACGCGCTGCCCGCTACTAGCACCGCTGTCGCTTGCGCTGCCCGCTACGCTCGCCGCCCAGTTCCGCATGTGCTCACGCTGCGTATTGGCCACCCGCTGCCGCTGGCCACAGCTGCTCACGCTGCCCACTGCTGGTCCGCTTGCGCTCGCGCTGCCTGCCCGCCGCCGCTGGCCCCTCCCAGCTGCCACTCGCGCTGGCCGCTGCGCACTGCCCGCCCGCTCGCTGCCCGCTTACCCGCCGCCAACCAGCTTGCCGCTCGCGGCCTACCGCCCGAAACCTGCCCGCTTGCGCGCCGTCAGCCCACTCGCCTCCCACTACTTACAGCCCGCTGCCAACCAGCTTGCTTTCCGCAGCTCACTGCCTCCTGCCTGCCCGCCCGCTACTAGCCGCCCCGACACCTACCCACTCGCACGCCGCCAGCCAGCCGTGCCGCCAGTCGGTGCCTTAGCTCGCTGCCAGTAGCTCCTCTCATTTTCTCGATCCTAGCACCTCTCGTCGGAGCTGCCGCTGGACCTACCGTCGGCTCTACCGCTGCTCTTGCTGTCGGGTCTGCTATTGTTTGCCATCTCTGCCGGACCCTGCCCCTTGTTCAGGACCGTCTAACACCTGCCTCTCTTGCCGACATGGCGGCCCCGTTGACGTCGTTGTTTGTCATCCGGCTCAATGCCGAAGGCCACACGGTGGGCTTCTCGGCATGGCTGCTTGCTCTTCGCCGGCAGCTGATATGCCAATGTGTGGACGGAGAGTGGCTGGCGGCCCACGTGACTGATGAGCTACTCCCCACTCCTGCCCTGAACCCCCCGGCCCCAAGGCGACGTCTGAGCAGCTTGCGGTGTTCACAGCTGCCTGGTCCACCCGCTCCATCTGGGACTCTCGCAACGCTGCGTTGCGCTGCTGGCCATCACCTGGTCCCAGCTGGTTGATGAGCACGCCCACTTTGAGTCGCACGAGACGGCTCAGGCCCTTTGGGACGCGATTGTTTCTCGCTACTCGACCCTGTCCTCCAACACTCTCGGCCGCCTCCTCCTCCCGTTCCGCTTTCCCGATTTGGCCTCCTTCTTCACGAAAGCGGATCTCGACACCCACCTGCACTCCCTCGAGGCCGACTCCCGTGCGGCGTGCACTGCGGCCGAGCTCACCAAGTACCCCTCACCCACCTACATCACCCTTGCTTCTCTCTTGCACTTGCTGCTCCCTTCTCCTTGTCCACCTTTCTTGCCTTCGTCTCCGCTGTACCGTTTTTCCCCTCGCATCCGTTCCCTTTCTCCCCACCTAATTGCTTTAGTTTCTCTCTGGCTGCTAGTGTCTCAAGCTCCTCCCTCTTATTTTCTCCTCCTGTTATCCTTTCCAGTTATGTCATCGCGTTCAAGGTTGTCACATTCCAAGAACATTCCAAGTCATCGAAGTTCAAGTCATCACTTTCCAAGTCTTCTCACTCCAAATCCAGTCAACGCATTGATTGACATATATTCGAAGCTGTCTTTTGGTCATGTTTTCGTGCTACCCATTAGATCTTCGTGTTTGACATGCGTGCATTTGCATTGTTGTTTTGTGTCCTGATTTTTTATATCGTGTTGCGTGTGTATGTGCGCGTGCATGGTACTATTGTTTGACAACATGCGTACCAGTTTATTGGCTTGTGTGTTGCACGGTGTTGCATTGCGTTGTGCTTGCAGGGGAAGGATGCTGACTATGCCTAGTGCACCACACAATTTGCGATTGCCGTTGCCGGTTTGGGGAATTGCTTCTCATCCCGTGCATGTCAATCTCTATTGTAGTACGAAAGCATTGATGCATTTCTTTCTTTGCAGTCACTATTGCACTGTTTTTTGTTTATTAGCATGTGTTGTACATTGTTGTATATTGTGCGTGCGTGCAAGAAAACGATGCTGTCTATGCCTACTGCATCATACAATGTGCGATTGTCGTTGCCGGATGGAGAGTTTTTTTTCCCATGACGTGCATGTCAATCTCTATTGTGGCACGAACGCATTGATGCATTCGTTTTACAGCATTCGCGATGGTTTTGTTGTATTGTATTGTTGTCATGTCGAGCCGAACCGTTGTATGTGTGCGTGTGTTGGTAAGATGCGTTATGTGTACATGCTTTAAAAATGGTGGTGATGTTGTGTTTCCTGTCATTCTCCGCCGTAATTATGGATGGCGAATGATTCGAGCCTCTCGCGTCATTCTTAGAAAGCTTACAAAATCGTTACAGAACTCTATGTTGCTCAACTATTATGTCGTCTTCATTATCGACCACATAATAATTGGGAAACATAAATATTTGTCATGCGAGTTAGAAAGGTATTTTGAAACGTGAAGTTTTTGAGTTATAGTAAAAGGAACAAACAAACGATATGTAGAGATTTTCTGTTGGAGAACGCAAACATTCAGATTATAGACAACAAATTTTAGATGGAAACCAGTGTCGTTAGAGTGAACGACACATTAGACCCGGAAACATATGTAGTGCAGGTTATTAGTTTGACTAAAGAAAGTCGTCCGAAATCGGTCCATCGACCGATTGTAAAAGGTTGATACGCAACCCAAAAAACATTTGAACACCAGAAAATTATTCACCATCTCCTCGAAGCTCCCAATAGTTCCACAAACATCGCATTTCAATTCGGGGAAAGTACATCGGCGCTCAGTATTAGGGGCCTCGATAATATGTACGGTCAGTGACGCAATATAAACAATCAGAATTAGCGAGTTAGCAACATGTTTCATCAGTCGGGTTCCACGGTTAGTCAGAAACTGTAGGAAAAAAGTTCCACGAATGGTCAGTAGAAGTAACCCCCGCCCGTCTAGGAACGTTTTCCCACTCGCGCCAGCCCAATTTCGTCATCATTGTGGCAGGCGCGAAATTTCTCCCCAGCTCCAGGCGCAGTTCGAGCGAAAAAACGTAATATACCAAAATTTAATTTTATTGGACACAAGCTATTCGAGAAACAAGAAAATACGATTTTGTTTCGAAACACATACTTTCGTAGTAGAGTGTAGTGCGTTCCTTGAAGCTTAAGAATGGCGGTTTTATCTCTACTGCATTTACGCCCCCCCCCCCCCAAAAAGTCAAGCCTTAAACTTATCGTCATTCCCGAATCGCTTGAAATAAAATCATATAAAGAAAACTATAGAAATTGATTTTGGGAAATGAATATGTTTAAAAGTGCAGCAAAGTACACTCATAGCCGCACAAAATTTTGTATTAACTTAAGTACAACAAATCTTTTAGATTTCTGCCGGCTGTGGTTATAAAATTTCCCACAAATGAATTTACTGCAAAAAAATTCCCGCTAATTCACGACTCTACAAGTCACGTCATGTGACGCCCACTGTGGTCCGATTAGCTTATATGACAGAAATGTGCAAGGTCTCAATTTTGGAATTTTGTGTGTGCGACGTTCAAAGAATGTTTACTTTGGGAATATTTTTCGTAGTTCTCTCGAACTGCGCCTGGAGCTGGGGGGAAATTTCGCGCCTGCCACAATGATGACGAAATTGGGCTGGCGCGAGCGGGAAAACGTTCCTAGACGGGCGGGGGTTACTTCTACTGACCATTCGTGGAACTTTTTTCCTACAGTTTCTGACTAACCGTGGAACCCGACTGATGAAACATGTTGCGAACTCGCTAATTCTGATTGTTTCTATTGCGTCACTGACCGTACATATAATCGAGGCCCCTAATATTGAGCGCCGATGTACGGTACTTTCCCTTCAATTTGTGTGTGCATTATGCCTGTTCTTGTTTTTAGGCCCCTACTGCTAGTTCTGGCATGGATATTGATCATCTGCCTCTTATTGAAACGGAATTCGCGCATAATTCCCGGTTGCCACAAGGTCACGCTGCATACAAGCATAACATTCGACAATCTGGATTGGCGCATGATCTCGCGTCGCTTGTGTCTTCCAGCCAACACAGGTGAAGCCACAGGCGTTGTGGGGTGCTTGTGAATATTGCCCCAATTCTAAGCCTGACCGCTTTTATGAAACCTGAACGCCACCCCGTGCCCCAATTCCAGTCTCTCTGAGCAACCTACGGTACCTGCTCGATTTGTGATCACTCGTTTCAGAATCATGTAAAAGCCAACTGCCAGGTCTGGAATGGAGCGTGTGTAGGTGAGTCCCTTTCCCCACCCTCATCCCTTCGTATTCCAACGGTGCGCCGAGCGGGTGCCTTGGAGGAAAAACAAGAGGCGACGAGATCGTCTTAGGGTTGCGGAGCATTTCATGATGAGACTTTATTATACAAAAATGTTTTATTTCCATCACAACAAACATTTGATTTTTATTTCACAAACTTGAAAAAAAAACCAGCCCGATCGATTGCAATAGGTTGCTCCGCAACCAAAAAAAAAAAAGAAGATTTTCAACGCCGCTGCAAGAGCTGCCGGGCAGAAGGAAGGCGTGCTTTCCAGGGTGTTTGCTTTCCTTTCCTTCCATCCACAGTGCTCCAATCGGCGCTGCGGAATCAGGCTTGCCCTGTGGCTGTGTTTTGCCTTTCATTCCCCAGTTCGCCCTACTTTCTCTCTCCCCCACTTTCACCCGACCCCCCCAACCAGGGCTAATTTTTCGTTTTTCAAGACCCAGCGGTCTCAGGATTCGCGTCACTAAAGATCCTGAAAATTCAGCATTCCCTGGGAAATCTCTCTTTATTTCAGGATTACTTTGACCTTCAATATGAAATTCAGAGTGTTTTTTGGGACTCCCTACTTATCAGCGGAACTTGTGGGCACGTCGAGTACAGGCAGGAAGGACATCGATAGAAGAAACGATGGAGAAAAATAATGAACACACGCTTGCTGCTGCTGCTGTCCCTTACTGCCAAGTTCCACTCTTTCCTTAATCGCGACAGAAATGCGTACAACTTAGGGGGACAGTGCGTAACCTGGCTAAGGTGATATTAAGGGGTTGTGATAAGTCTGACAGCCCTGCACTTCACTAGTTGTGAAAGTTCCACGGGTCGCACCTTCAGATTGTGTGGAAAATTGGTCAGGGTTGCGAAGGAATTGGGGGTGGGGGGGGAGAGGGTAGGGTTGCAATTCCTGCAGGGGTAGTTTCCATGCCAATCGGATGGCCATGATAAATTTTCGCTCAATCCGGATTGCTGAGGGAGTTCCTTGGAAAACCCCGAAATCAGTCAGGAGGTTTGTGAGTAAAAAACCCTTAAAATCTGGATATCAGCGGAAAAGACCCGGAATGTACCTAGCATTCCGGATGTTTACCCTTGAACCGAGAGCCCTGCCCCCAACCACTTCGTATGCCAGCCTCGATCGACCAACCATCGCGCTAGCACCGCTCCCTGCACCGCAACCCCTCTGGCCCATACACCACCTAATCTGCCCCTCCTCCCCCCCCCCTTTCCCTACTCCCCTCTCCCCCGCGTCTCTCTCTCCCTCTCCCAAACCACCCCGGCCCTGCCTGGCCCGTGTCTCCTCGTCGCGCTGTCGCAGGAGCCCCGCTTTGAATCGCTCACTGCAGCACTCGATGCCAAGCCAACACCCAGCCACCGACAGAAAGCTGCGTTGTTGACTGGCGGCTGGGGAACCGATTTACTGTACCCCACCCACCCGCCCCGCAGTGCACCAAGCAAGCACCATGAAGGCAGAAAAAGCCCTGGGCATGGCCAACCCAGCAGGGAAGACCAGTAGAGGAGGGAGAAAAGCGAGGAAAGAGGAGGATGGGCGAGCAAGCAAGCAAGCTCTGTTTCAGCTCGGCCGAGTCTTGCTGTTTCTTGATCGATCACGAGGGGACCATCCAAATTTCCTCCTCCCCTCCCACGTTACGCGCCGCATCCTCGTGGTACAGTAGCACGACGCGTCATATTCTCTCCCAGTATATATTCCGGCGCTGTCCAGAATCCGCATTCGCGACGAGCACACATCTCTGAAGCGATTTAGGAGACGAGTAATAAAGTTGTGCGTTAGCCGAATACAACTGCGAATAACAGAAGCCACCGTCCCCAGTGCTTTCCGTCGTCCGTCGATCATAATGGCCTCTCGAGAAAACCACCCTTTGCCGAGCCTCCTCCGCGAGCATTCCGCGCGACGTGCGTCCCAATCACGAGCTTACCCCCACCGCGCGCGATGCGGCCGCTTCCAACGCCGCGGGGACTCAAGGGCCACCTGCGTTCCCCTCCTGGTGCTGCTGGTCTCGCTGCCGACAACTCTGCTCCGCCCGACCACTGGTACGGACACAACCGCACCCTAGTAGTAGTCGCGATAGTGCTAGGAATCGTCGCCTCGGTTCCAAGCTGTTACGGGATGCGTCGTGCTTTCCCGTCTGTAAGCACTATCATCATGCGCTGTTATCGAGTCGTCTATAAACGAATGCGGTCTCGCAGGCAACCCATTCCCGCGCATTCAGTCAGACGCGATGGAAACTAGGCGCTGTCGAGTCGACTCGAAAGCAGACTATGTCGGACGCGATGGAAGCTGGCGCGCATTCCAGCAGCCGCCGCTTCGAGTGCGCCGGTCCCTAACCCGCCGGTCCCTAACCCGCCGGTCCCTAACCCGCGGGTCCCTTATTTTCCACTTGCATTCGTCGAGATTTTATCCCGTGCCCGATTCCGCTGCTCCCCCCGCCTCGTCCCTTCCGCTCTATCCCCCCTCCTCCCGTTTCTTTCCACACCCTTCTCCCAATCATCTCCCTCCCCCCGAATCATCTCCCTCCCCCCGCTTCTTCTCTATTTCCGTGACTTCTCAGCCCTCTCACCTCCGCTCATCCCTTCCGCCTTCCACCCTCCACTCCCTTCCCCCGATCCCTCTCTCCTCTGTCCCTCCCCATGCCTCCGCGTACTGCATTGTGCGCCGACGCTCAACCCCCCTCCCACGCTCTTGTCATCCCATCCCACTACTCCCATTTTCCCTCCATGTCTCCCTCAACCCACCCCGCCCCCCTTGCAGCGTCCCCCCCCGATGTCTCCGCGCTCTACACTGTCCGTCTTCGCTCCGCGCCGTCCGTCGCCTCCTACCGCGGCGGATTGGCCGGCTACCCGGCAACGGCCGTCTGGGATAGCGACCCTAACGCCAACGCGACGGATGCCTCGTCAGATGACGCCGCCAATTCCGCACCCGCTCCCTCCTCCTCTTCCTCCTCCTCGTCCTCGGCCTTAAGTAGCGGTGGCGGCGTTGGGATCGCGTCTGTGGCTTCTGTTACCGCTGCTGCTGCTGCTGCCACTAACGGTCTAGGGAGGCTTGGCCGTCTGATTCGCCGGCCGCGTTTGAACGTGAAGGCGCCGGCCGTGAGGGCGTTCAAGCAGCTGCTGCAGCGCATGCAGCAGGCCGTGGTGCAGGACAGCGGGGTGGACGCTGGAAAAGTGGTCTACAGGTGAGCAGCTGTTGAGAAGTTTATCGAGACGGCTTTAAAAGCGGATGCAGCAGGCCGTGGTACGGGACTCTTGCTGCGGATGCTGGGAACGTTCTGTGCGCGTCGCATCGTGCGCTCCGCCACTGCCGATCTACTCGCTCTATTTCCTGGGCCCTGCCCACCTCCCCTCTCACCTTCCCTTCTCCTCCCTTCCCTTGCTCACCCCCCCCTCTGTCCCGTCCCCCCCCATCCCAACCATCTTCCCCCCTTCCCCCCTCCCAGCTTCAAGCACGCGTCCAACGGCTTCTCAGCGACCCTCACCCCAGCCCAGGTGCAGAGGATGAAGCGCCACCCGTCAGTGGCGTCCGTGACCCGCGCGCGCGTCGTGCGCCCCGCCACCACCGACTCGTACAAGTTCCTCGGGCTGCCCGACTCGCTGTGGGCCGCTGCTGGCTCGCCCAGTGACGCTGGCGACGGCATGGTGGTTGGGATCGTGGACACAGGCGTGTGGCCCGAACACCCTTCCTTTGACGACACGGTACGCTTTGCAGCTCCTTCTCTTTTTCTTTCTCTTCCCACCCCTCCCTCTCTCCCTGTCCATTCCTGCTGCCCCCACCATCCTCACCTTCCCCATCGCCCACTCCCTGTCCACCACCCATTTCCTCCCACTCCCACCTCTCAGGGCTTCAGCAGCACTCTCCCCAGCGGTTGGTCGGGCACGTGCCCCACCACAAACGACTTTACCTGCAACAACAAGATCATCGGAGGGGGCGTGTTCCACGATGGCTTTGAGAGCGGCAGCACCACGGTGGACCTCTCCTCTGATTGGATGTCTCCGCGAGATGCCGCGGGCCACGGCACGTGGTGTGCGAGGTGAGTCGTTGCCTCTTGAAGCGCGGTGCGTGCTGTATGGTGTATGCCTTCCATTGACGACGGCTTTGAGAGCGGCAGCACCAATGTGGACCTCTCTCCTCTGATTGGATGTCACCCAGGGATGCTGCTGGCCACGGCACGTGGTGTGCGGGGTGATTGTGTGTGCTGAGCTCCTTGCTTCTTGGTGCGTGCTGCAAGGTGCGTGGTAAATGTCGGCACACGGCACTAGGTATACATGGTGAATTGTGAAAGCAAGGAGTGGTATGCATGTCACCGGGGGCATTCTTCTCATACAACCTTCTTTTCCTGCCCCGAATTCCCCCCACTCCCAGTGCTTCTGCGGGCAACAACGGAATTACAATCCCCAATAAAGGTAGTGCGAGCGGCATGGCACCGGGGGCACGCCTGGCGATCTACAAGGTGTTTTGGCAGTCGGGGGGCAGCATGTACGCCACCAGTCCCGACATCGTTGCAGCCGTTGATCAGGCCGTCGCGGACGGTGTGGATGTGCTCTCGCTGTCGCTGGGAGGAGCCAGTCCCTACGACACGTACTTTGACGACGTGCCGTTCATCAGTGTCAATGCGGTGGGTGCTGTGCTGCTTGTACCTCTATTTCCCTTATCATATTTGTATACATATTGTACTGTACTTGTATTTGTAGTTGTAGTTGTAAATGTGAGAAAAGGTGGAGAAAGGTGTGCATTTCCAAGCAAAGGTGCGCAGCAGCAGGTGGACATTGCATGCCGTGCAACTTCTCTCCTCTTCGCTTCTCAAACCCCTATTGCTTCCCTCTCCCTCCCTCCCTCCCCTCATCAGGCTGGGGTGTTCGTGGCCTTCGCAGCGGGCAATGAGGGCCGGCCGTCAGCCTTTGCCGCCACGGGCTATCGCACGCTCTGCAACTTCTCACCCTACTACATGACCGTGGGGGCCAGGTGAGACTATCACCTGCCGCTCCCTTCTTGTTATGCACTCTTCCACTCTCTCTTCCCTTTCACTCTCTCTTCCCTTCCACTCTCACTTCCCTTTCACTCTCACTTCCCTTTCGCACCCTCTTCTCTTCCACTCTCTCTACCCTGCTCGTGCATCCTTTTCCTCCCTTGTCCTTCCACGTCAGTAGCAGCAGCAGCACTTGAAGCCTCAACCCTCAACCCTGAATTTCGTTTCTCCTCCCCCTCACCCCCTCGTAATCCCCACCTGCAGTACCATAGTCCGCGGCGGTGCGTCCCTCACTTCAAAATCAACAGCAGCAGCAGCACTGGAGTCTCCAACCAACAGCACGGCCCCCACAACCACAACTACCTCGCCATCCTCATCATCAGCATCCACCGTCTCTACGCTCAGCGGCGCGCGCATCCCCGCCGCCATCTCCCCATCCACCTCCTCCGCCCCGGTCGTCGCCTACTTCTCCTCCACCGGCCCCCTCGCCAAGCCCTGGGGCTCCGCCCCCGCCGCCTACCCCTCCAACACCATCTTAAAGCCCGACATCTTAGCCCCGGGCGTTGAGCTCTACGGCGCTGCTCCGGGGAGTACGGTCGGCAATACAGGCGGGTTCCAGCAGCTTTCAGGCACCTCCATGGCTACACCCCATATTGCCGGTATCGCTGCGCTGATCATCCAGCAGCATCCTGATTGGACGCCGTCGCAGGTCATGTCTGCTATGCAGACTACAGCGCGGACTACTAGTCTTAGTGGTGGGGCGATTAAAAACGAGTATGGGGCCGCTGCGACGCCGTGGGAGGCGGGAGCGGGGCATGTGGTGCCTGCTAGGGCGGTTGACCCCGGGTTGACCTATGATGCCGGGGAGCAGGACTTCAAAAACTTTCTCGCCGGGCAGAACCTGAACAAGGCACGGGGCGAATTCGGGTCAGCTTCGCTAAAAGCTGTTGCGGCAAAGAATCTGAATCGGCCAGCTATCTCGCTGCCCAAAGTAAACAAGAAGGCGAAAGTTACACGGACCGTCACAAACGTCGCGGATACTACATCGACCTACACGGTTAAGATCAAGAAGCCTGCTGGAGTGAACGTGAAAGTGTCCCCATCAAGGTTCACAATCGCCCCTGGGCAAAGAAAGACCTTTACCGTGACAGTGGTGGTGAAATGGGCGTCAAGCTCTTTCAAGTTTGGCAGCCTAACGTGGGTGGATGACCAGGGGCACTCTGTGCGCTCCGTGTTGGCCGTGCAGCCCACCACTGCATGCTGGTTTGGCTGCTAGTATGGTATACGTATGCAGATGTACTGTGTATACACCGGGGTATAGTTAGGGCGGATTCCTACAAAGTTGGATCCGGCGAAGTTGGATCCCTCCAGCACGATACAGTGCAGTGCAATCGTCGAAAATGTGCAATCTGTGAGGTTCGATTTTGTAGCGGTGAAACTAGATCCAACTTTGCTGGATCCTACTTCATAGGAATCTGCCCTTGGTTCTATAACTATTTCGCTCTTAAAATATTTCATTGAGAAAGCTTGCTTTCATTGTAGCAATGATAACGTGCTTCATTTCAAATGGCAACGTGCTTCATTTCAAAATGGGAATTACTGTCAAACATGTGTATCTCCTATGTTTGCATAGACTGTATAGGGCGACCTCTTAGAGGGTACAACACTTCGGTATATTCACCTGTACTCTCTCTCTACTGATCATTCACTTCTCACTTTGATATGGTATCACGCGTAGGTTAGGATCCCCCACCTATCGCTTCTGCCCCTACCCTAGCTAGGCCCCGTCGCGCCCCTCCTAGCCCAGTCGCGCCCCTCCTGGGCCCTGCCGCGCCTCCTAGCCCCGTCGCGCCCCTCCTGGGCCCCGTCGCGCCCCTCCTGGGCCCCGTCGCGCCCCTCCTGGGCCCCGTCGCGCCTCCTAGCCTAGTCGCGCCCCTCCTGGGCCCTGCCGCGCCTCCTAGCCCCGTCGCGCCCCTCCTGGGCCCTGCCGCGCCTCCTAGCCCAGTTGCGCCCCTCCTGGGCCCCGTCGCGCCTCCTAGCCCAGTCGCGCCCCTCCTGGGCCCTGCCGCGCCTCCTAGCCCCGTCGCGCCCCTCCTGGGCCCCGTCGCGCCTCCTAGCCCAGTCGTGCCCCTCCTGGGCCCCGTCGCGCCTCCTAGCCCAGTCGCGCCCCTCCTGGGCCCTGCCGCGCCTCCTAGCCTAGTCGCGCCCCTCCTAGGCCCCGTCGCGCCTCCTAGCCCAGTCGCGCCCCTCCTCGGCCCCGTCGCGCCTCCTAGCCCAGTCGCGTCCCTCCTGGGCCCCGTCGCGTCCCCCCTAGCCCCGTCGCGCCCCTTCTGGGCCCCGTCGCGCCCCTCCTGGGCCCCGTCACGCCTTTTAGCCCCGTCGCGCCCTGCCTGGCCCCGTCGCGACTGCCTGGCCCCGTCGCGACCGCCTGGCCCCGTCGCGCCCTGCCTAGCCCCGTCGCGCCCCTCCTGGGCCTCGTCGCGCCCTGCCTGGCCCCGTCGCGCCTGCTTGGCCCCGCCGCGCCTGCCTGGCGCCCGTCCCAGCCGGCTCCGCGTCCGCCCTCACGCCCTCCGCGCCCGTCTGCTCGGCCCCTGCGCCCGTCCCAGCCGGCCCCGCGCCCGTCCCGTCGGCCTGGTGCCCATTGCTTCTGGCCCCCGCGCCCGTCCTGCCCCGAGCTGTGTGCGGCCCGCCCGTCGTCCCTGCCCCGGCCCTGCATCCTCCCTAGTACTGTTCCTCATCACCTGCACCGCACTGCACTGCACGGTACTGCCCTGCACCACACTGCACCGCGCTGCACCGCACGGCACCGCACTGCACTGCACTGCACCGCCTTGCACCGCACTGCACAGCACTGCACAGTCCTGCACTGCTCCTGATGGCGGCGGAGCTTCGCTTCGACGCTGAAGGCCAGCCTCTGGAGTTCGAGGCGTGGCTCGCCGACCTCCGTCGCCACTTCACTGGTCATCGGCAGGATGGCCACCCGCTTTCCGCACACCTTGACGGTATGCTCCCCTGCCCAGACCCCCCTGCTGTTCTGCCCGCTGATCCCACACCCGCTGAGCGCGAGTCTACTGCAGCCACTGCCCTTGCGCGCTCTGTCTGGCTTTCCCGAGACGCTGTCGCTCAGCCTGCCATTAGCAATGCCCTTCCCCCGTCTGAGCGCCCTCGCTTTAGGTCCATCACTACCGCCCAGGCTTACTTAGATGCTGTCATCAAGCGCTATTCCACCCCTCCTGCTGCCTCCGTGGGTCGCCTTATCTTCCCGATGCTCTTTCCCGACCTTGCGTCTTTCCCCACTGTCTCTGACCTAGCTGCCCACCTGCGCTCGATAGATGAGACCTGGCGCGCTGCCTGCACTGACACACAGCTTAGAGCCCACCAGCTGTCACAGGATCGAATGTCCCTAGGAAAGGTTTGCTCAATGTTGCACTATCAATCAGTACAAGGGGCTTTTATACTTCCATATTACATCAGGTAACCAGGTTTATCCTATCCAAAGGAAATAGACCCTTCTAGAAATAGAATCACCATGCGTATAGCCACGCGAGGCTATTGGCTTTAAGGGATTACGGCAGGATTACGCTAGATATAGCGCGCCAGTACATCCCGAGCCTGGTCGGTGATATAATTATAATAACAGGATAAGCCAAAGGATAATGGAAAAAGAGGAATAGGAAACCAAATGAGATGAGATGAAGACCAAATGACTCAGGAGTGAAAGAGGAATGAAATAGAAAGGAAATATGGAAAGGGGAAATTGGTGTAACGGGGTCGTACTCTCACACCAGCCGCCCATTACCTCTACCCTCTACCTGCTTGCCACCCGCCTCCCTGACCGCCTTGCCGCCGCCCGCGACCGCTTCCTTAGCATCCACCCCGGTGAGCTCACCCTCCCCGACTTTGTAGACACCCTGACTGTTATCGAGACCCGCCACCGCTCCATCGCCCAGGCGAGCGGTACCGTACCGGTCCCTATCTTTCAGGGTTGTGCCCCCGCTCAGTGTACCTTCTCCGACGGTTCTGTCGCTGTGGCTGAGACTGCTGCTGCAGCGCAGCTTCGTTCGGGGAAGGGCCGCCACCCCAAGCCTGGGCGCGGCGGAGGAGGCTGGGGTGCAGGAGGGGGTGGTGGTGGAGTCGGGTCGTCTGGTGCTGGAGCGGACGAGGGGACCCTGCCTGGTCCAGCGGAGCCGTCGCCTCTGCAGTCGCAGCAGCAGCAGCAGCAGCCGCACCAGCCGCAGCAGTCGCAGCAGCCGCAGCCTCCGCAGCAGCCGCAGCAGTCCCCGCAGACGAGGCAGACGAGTGTCCTCCCGCTCGGGTGGCCTGGCACTGGAGGTGGTCGGGCGCGTGGTGGTGTGCCGAGTGGTGGTTTGGGAGGCGTGCGTTGTCAGTACCAGATCCAGACCGGTCCTCGCCGCGGCTTCGTTTGCGGTAAGATCGGTCATACCACTCCCCGCTGTTTTCGTCGCCTGGACGACCTGTTTCGTCAGCGCTTCGGCCCTTCGCCAAAGCTCCCAGACTGGCACAGTTTGCTTAGTTGTACGATTCAGATTTTTGACATGGACATGGATGCCATTGTTTCTGCTCTGCATGCGATGTATGCTGATGACTCTAGTGCGCTCCCCACTTATTACTCCCTGTCGTCTAGTGTAGGTGTGCCTAGCTTAGCCTCCCCTGCTGCGTCAGGCGTAGGATCCCCTGCTTTGTTTAGCCTTGGTGCTTCCGCCGTCGCCCCGTCGCCAGCCGCCACTGCTTCGCTTTCCTTCACCTTGGACTCTGGCGCTTCTCGGTGCTTCTTCCGCGACTCTACTACACTGACGCCGCTTTCTGCTCCTGCTGCCGTTTCTCTTGCTGACCCCTCCGGCGGTCCGGTAGTCGCCCGCAATTCCACCACCCTTCCCTGTCCAGCGGTTCCTTCGGGCTCTCTTACAGGTCTGCATATCCCCTCGTTCTCTAGGAACCTAGTTGGTGTCGGCTGTCTCCAGGACCTTGGCGTCACCACTACGTTCCCTGGTCACGAGCGGTATGCTGTCTATACCGAGGCCGCCACTGGTGCCCCCCTGTCCACGTTCTCTCGGGACCCTGTGTCTTGCCTGTTCACTCTGGACACCGTGACCCCCCCGGCTAGGGCACCCCTTCAGGTGGCTGCGTCTACCCAGGTTGCCGCTGCCTGCTCCTGTCGGTCCCTCACTCACCCGACTCTCCTTTGGCACCACCGCCTAGGTCACCCTGCGCTCCCGCGTCAGCGTCACATGTCCCAGCACGGTCTCGTCCTTGGTCTCCCTGGTTCTCTCCCCGCTTTTCCCTCCTCCCCAGCCCTACCTTGCACGCCTTGCGTCGAGGGTCGGCTTCGCCGTGCCCCTCACTCCTCCTCGTTTCCCCCTACCACCGCGCCACTGCAGACCCTGCACATGGACGTCTTGGGCCCCGCCCCCGTCCATGGGCCGAGTCGAGAGCGCTACTTCCTTGTGCTTGTCGACGACTTCACTCGCTACACCTCGGTCTTTCCCCTGGAGCGGAAGGCCGACGTGCCTGACGCTCTCATCCCCTGGCTTGTCTCTGCGCGTGTCCACCGAGGTCTCCCTGTCTTGCGCCTTCACTCCGACCGTGGTGGCGAGTTTGCCTCAGGTGTCCTTGGTCGCTTTTGTCGTGCGGAGGGCATCACCCAGACGTTCACCCTACCGGACTCCCCACAGCAGAATGGGGTCGCTGAGCGACGCATCGGTTTGGTCATGGAGGTGGCTCGCACCTCCATGATCCATGCCGGTGCACCCCATTTTCTGTGGCCGTTCGCTGTGCGCTACGCTTCTCACCAGCTTAACCTGTGGCCGCACCCCCAGCAGTCGCAGGTTTCGCCGACCCGTCTTTGGACTGGGTCTCCTGGTGACGCGTCTGCGTTCCACGTCTGGGGCTGCCTTGCTCACGTCCGTGCCTTCGGCACGGACAAGCTCACTGCCCGCACCCTTCCCTGCGTCTACCTCAGTTTTCCCCTTGCCGCGTCCGACTGGCACTTCTACAACCCGCCGTCTCACCGCTTCTTTCACTCTCGCGACGTCACCTTTGACGAGTTCGTCTCCTTCTACCGTCGCTTCCCCCACCGCGGTCCCCCGGTTACCCCCCCCCTTGTTCCTGGTCACTCCCACCCCGGTAGTCCCTGCCCCCCCCCCTCCTCCTCCCCGTCCTGCCCCCTCTGGTGTGTCCCACGTCACCCCACTTCCGTCGGTGGTCCCGGTTGAGGAGTCTTCTGACTCTGGTGGTCCTGCGGCTCAGTCCTCGCCGGCTGCCCCTCCCCAGGAGTCCGCTCCTCCGTCGCCTCTGCTGCCACCGTCGCCCCTGCTGTCGCAGCCGTTGTCAGCTCCGCCGCCGCCACCGCAGCCGTCGTTGTCGCTGCCGTCGCCGCTGCCGTTGCAGCACCCGTTCGTTGACTCTGGGGGTGCTGGCGTTGGAGTGCGTGCTAGTCCCGGTAGCCGTGGTGGTGGTACCGGTCCTCGAGGGGTTTCGGACCCTGGGGGTGTTCCCTCTGGGGGTGCTGGCGTGGAGTGTGCCGGTGGTA